TTCAGTTTTGGAAAGTTATACTTCTCTAAGAACTTGTCCATTTCTTCCAAGTTGTCCATTTTATTGGCATAGAGCTGCTGGTAGTGGTCTCTTATGATCCTTTGTATTTCAGAGTTCTCTGTTGTGATCTCTCCATTTTCATTTCTAATTTTGTTGATTTGGTTCTTTGTTTCTTGATGAGTCTGGCTAATGGTGTGTCCACTTTATTTACCTTTTCAAAAAAACAACTTTTTAGCTTTGTTGATTTTTGCTATGGTCTCTTTTGGTTCTTTTGCATTTATTTCTGCCTGAATTTTTAAGATTTCTATCCTTCTACTAACCCTAGGGTTCTTCATTTCTTCTTTCTCTAGTTGCTTTAGGTGTAGAGTTAGGTTATTTATTTGACTTTTTTCTTGTATCTTGAGGTAAGCCTGTATTTCTATGAACCTTCCCCTTAGCAGTGCTTTTACAGTGTCCCATAGGTTTTGGGTTGTTGTGTTTTCATTTTCATTTGTTTCTATGCATATTTTTATTTCTTTTTTGATTTCTTATATGAGCAGATTTCATTTTAAACATTCTTAAACTTTTCAGTTTATTTTTTACATCTGTCATTCAGGTTAACTTCTCACTTTATCACTTTTATATGGCTACTATTGACTTTTGACTTTGGGAAAAATGAAAAATTCTGGGACTATGAGATCGTGATCTTTTTTTTTCTTCCCTCCTTTTGTTCAAGTTTAGTTGTTAAGACATAGGAGGGAAGCGGGGAGGGGATAGTAGAAGTTTTGGCTGTTTTTGTTAAGGTTGTTTTGAACTGCATTATTATGTGCCTAAGGTAAGTTTAAATTATCTGAATGATAGGGAATTTCAGGCTCTGCTGTTATAAAATGCCCTCTCTCCTTATAAGCTAACTTCCCAGATGATTCAGATGGTAAAGAGTCAGCCTGCAATGCAAAAGACCTGGGTTCGATCCCTGGGTCAGGACGATCCTCTGGAGAAGGGAATGGCAACCCACTCCAGCATTACATTAGTTGAAAGTATTTTTTTTAAGTTTTAAAACAAAACAGTGAAAGTATACTTGATATGCTTTATTAAAGTATAAATTAAAAATTTACTACTTAACATATTCTAGGAAAATGTCTACCTTTAACCCACAGTTAATGAACTAAACAGCCAGTTGGCACGTGGCAACATTTATGATGACTGAATTTGAAGTGATTGTGATTTATCATCTTTGTTGCCTAGCCTAATATATCTATTATTTCCAAAAGTTGAGACTAGGTCCCAAATTTGTGAGTCATAATCTGTCCATTTCCCTGTGTGATAAAGTGTAAATTTTTATTTCCCATCTAAAAATTTTATTCTCAGGAATTCCCCAATAGTCCAGTAGTGGTGAGGACTCTATGCTTTCACTGCTGAGGGCCCAAGTGCAATCCCTTGTCAGAGAACTGAGATGCCACAAACTGTGCAAAAGGGGGCCACATTTTTAAAAAATTTTTTTTCTCTAAGAACATTAGTTTTTGTTACTAGTTCCTAGAGACTGAATGGGATTGTTCTCTGATTTTCATTCAGTAGGGAAGGTAGTTTAAATGCAACAGTTATTAAAAACTTTTTATTTTGTATTGGGCTATAGCTGATTAACAATATCATGATAGTTTAAGGTGGACCGCAAAGGGGCTCAGCCATACATAAACATTCTTCCCCAAATTCCCCTCCCATACAGCCTGCCACATAACATTGAGCAGAGTTCCCTGTGCTATATGGTAGTCCTTGTTGGTTATCCATTATTAAATATAGCAGTGTATATGTGTCAATTCCAAACTCCCTAACCCTTACCCCTACCCTTCCCCCTAAATGTAACAATTTTGTGATATGTGAATATTATGGATTTCCATTGGATTCTCCTGTCTCCTCTACAGAGTAGATACTCAATAAATGCTTATTGAGTAAATGAAAGAAAATATATTAATTTATTTCAGAAATTTATCATATCTTTCATTGAGATTTTTTCAGTAAAGATCTGCCAAATAGCAGCTTCGGTAGCATATTCTTTGGGAAAGAGGAGGGAAGAATAAAAGAGCTAAGGGTATTTCATTTTCAGCCCATTAGAGTTACTGCTTCAAGCTGTGTTTTAGTCACCTGAGCCATAAGTTAAATGGGAGGGCTGTTGTAATTGAAATATACTTTTTTGTTCTCCAAGGAGACTTACCTAGTTCTCCCACCTCCTCACCTGTTGCTCTGATAAGATTTTCCCTCCTTTTCAATTTATTTCACAAATGTAACAGTTGAAGAAGAAGAAAGAAAAATTACCCACAGTTTTACCCCATCAATTGTCTTTAGTATTCTGTGTTCCTTTCAAGTACTTGTCTACATAAATATATATTCTGATATATCTATAAGTAATCACTCATAATTTTGTCTTTTGTGTTTTAAGATTTTGGCACCCAGGCAAGACAGCTTCAAAGAGATGGTAGGAACAAATGATCTGATGTGAGGATGGAAGAAGGCCAGAAATAGTAAGGGTGGTGATTGAACCTTCCCTGTTTCATCAAGCCAATCCTCAAGCCACCCTAGAGCCATCACAGTTGCAGTGGGCAGCATGCCCAGTTGCAGAGTTTCAGAATGTATTGTTTAACAGTGAGGCTTAACTTGCATTAAATAAAGGGAACTGTGAGTAGGGAAACACTTCAGACTGGTTATATTATGAGCTGTAGAACTGTTGCCATTTTTCTGTTCCCCAGTTGTGCCCATGAAAGAGGTATGTTCAGGCTGGAGACTCAGGCTCAAATGGGGAAACAGAGAGCCAAGGACCAATCTCAGTTTGGTCTGACAGGTGAATTTAATCTACTCCCTAAACTCAGCGTTTGTATCTGTAAGACTGAGAGATACAGATAGTGATGGGAAAAAACCTTTTAGAAAATAGAAGACAACTTAGTGGTTACTCTGCTAATGTAATGGAAGTTGCCAACTGGAAAATGAATGCAAAGAAAAACAATGCAGTAGATTGTGTGCCACAAATTTATTATTCAATAAATATTCTGTGGTTTGATGTACAGTATCATATTTTTAACATGCTCTTATTAGAAATCTCCTAAAATATTCTGGAAGACTCCACTACTGTTGAATTGGAAGATATTTGGATATATTAAAACATATTTGGCCTCAATAATGTCCCTTAGCCACTTTTCTTGAAAGCGAATCTTTCCTGGTCTGCAGAGGAAGAAAAACAAACACAACAAAAGCTTTTAAAGGGAAACAAAACACTGAGCCAGGGATCCATTGATTCCCTGTTTACTCTGTTATATTCCTAGTGAGCAAAATGCCTTTTGGGGGTGGGGACAAAGATTGTCTCCATTCCTTAGGCCAAGTCAATAAAAGGGTGAGTTTATATGTAAAGATTCTGTAAGAGAGCTGCTGTACAAATAAAAGGAGTTATTGAATATTATTTATGAGTGAGTTCCATGTGATTGTGAAGTTTCCCATTGAAACAATAGACAGGACCTACTTTGGCCCCACCCTACTCCAGCAACTAACCTCAAGTTGCTAGTCACTGAAAAGCAAGACATTGCAGATAAAATCCATTTTCTAGAACAAAAGCAGAATCTTACTTTCAGCCCATCTTAATGGAGTAGGTGGTCCAAAGAAGAAAAGTAACCATTACATAAATTATCTGTCATTGAGGGCTTCCCAAGGTGGCTCAGTGGTAAAGAATCTGCCTGAAATGCAGGAGACTCAGGTTCAATCCCTGGGTTGGGAAGATCCCTGGAGAAAGATTTCCCAGTATTCTTGCCTGGGAAATCACAAGGACAGAGGAGTCTGGAGGGCTACACTCCATGGGGTTGCAAAAGAGTGAGACACGATGTAGCAACTAAACAACAGCAACACAAAACATGCCCACTGGCTTCTTGGAGTGTGATGACCTTGTCCTACTACCCTTTTAAAATCTCTAAATTTTCTTTACCTGTGAACTAATGAATGGCCCTCAAAGACATAAGAGACATCAATGGGTGTGTCCTAAGAGAAAAAGACAACTGTCAGCCAAGACCAGTCATACCAACTCATGATTCTTTCCATTGCTACATGTATCCATAAATACACTCTTTAATTTCTAGAATTCATCTTCCCTGTGAATTGGAGATCTGTGGGTGGTAGTTCTTTGTCACTTCAAACCTGTGTTCCCCCAAAAGATCTTTTAGGGAATAAATACCCTAAGAGTCTCCACAAAATTGAAAACAAGTCAGGGGAGGCTGTGCTCTCATTACTTAGGAGCATAAGGAAGTCGTGTGCCTTCTTTACGTGGTCCAGTTTACTCAGCCAACAGCACCAACTTACTTTGTAGGGACAGCCTAAGAATGAAACTATATAGATGAACACGGTACAAAAACATTTTAAAAATGTCTTTTACAGTTATAATTCTGTCTCAGTGACCCCCATCCAGTGTCCCCTCCAAAATTATACTTGTAATTCTGAGCAAGAGCCTGGCTCCGAAGTCCTCTCTCTGTGTGGTCTCGTTGACCTCCAGCAGCCTCCCTTTCCAATGTTAGAACTTGCCAGTTAGCAAGATAGCTGATGGTGGACTGTATGACCAGGAGAAATGAGAACTCCTTATAGTCTACCTCTTTAGATCACTCCAGTTCCAAACTCTCCAAATAGGTAAGTTTGTACTAGGATACGATAAATATAGGACATGGTTGGCTCACTATGGTGTGGTTATCTATAAAGCCTTAGAGTCAGGAGAGCCTCAGATAGCTTGGGAAAGGATGAAGGCAAAGGGGAAATAACACTTTTATGTCTCCTGTCTTCCAGGCATCATGGTTAGTACCACCCTGGTTCTAAGGATCCTAACCCTGGATTTTGGGGTGTCATTTGGACTCCTTTCACAGCAGCTGTCAACATATTTCATATTCACAGTCAACCTAGTGGTGACAAGCAGTCATTCCTTCAAATACTCAGTGCCAACTATTTGCCATGTCTTGTTTTACAGCAGCACCAAAATCCCTGCCTTCATGGAGCTTACATTCTGGTGGGGGTGCAGAGTATAACAAGAAATTACATAGACGATTAGAAGATGGTAAAGTATTAGGGAGGGAAGGAGGGTTCCAGTCAGAGGGAACAGCAAGTACGGAAACCTTGAAGTGGAACTCTACCTGGCTTATTTGAGGAGTAGCAAGATCAGAGTGACTGGAGCAGAGTAAGTGAAGGGGCAGGGGTAATGGGAAAGCAGAAATAACAAGGGACCAGATCACACAAGGCCTGTAGGCCCTCACTATTCAGGGTGTCGTCTGTGGATCTGCAGCATCAGCAGCTCCTGGGAGCTTCTTAGTAATGCAGAAGCTCAGACCTGCTGAATTTGAATTTTCCTTTTAACAAGATCCCTGAGTAATTCACATGCATTTTGAAGTTGGAGAAGCATGTTGGAACATTGGAGGTGTGACATAACTTCATTTTTCCAAGACCCCCTATGGCTGGCTGAAAAGAGACAGGATGCAGGTAAAGGTGGAAGCAGAAAGACTGGCTAGAAGGCTATTGAAATAACTTTGGTGAGGGATGATGGTGTCTTGGCCTAAGGTGGTAGAGGTGCAGTGGGAAGAGAGGCTTGGATTGAGTGCCTATTTTGAAGGTAGGGCCAACAGGATTTTCTAATGGATGTGACTGAAAAAGAAGAGTCAAGGAAGATGACAAGGATTTTGGCCATCAGCTGAGATGAGGAAGGCATAGGTAGGTCAGACTTTGAAAGGAAAATCAGAAGTTCAGCTTTGGATACAGTAAGGGAGATGTTTAAATATCCAAGTGACAGAAGTCTGGGCTGGAGACAGAAATTTGGGAATCATAAGCTAGAGGTGGAGCTTCCCTGGTGGTCTAGTGGTTGAGAATCCTCCTGCCAATGCAGGGGACACAGGTTTGATCCCTGGTCTGGGAAGATTACACATACTGCAGAGCAGCTAAGCCCATGCACCCTAGGCCTGTGCTCCGCAGTGAAGAGCAGTCCCTGCTCACCGCAACTAGAGAAAGCTCACACATAGCAACAAAGACCCAATGTAGAAAAAATAAATGTTTTTTAAAAATAAGCTAGAGGTAGCATTTAAAGCCAGGAGACTGGATAAGGTTGTGCAAGAAATGAGGATAGAGAAGATATCCAAAGGCTGAGTTTCGGGACATGCAAACATGAAGAGGTCAGTGAGATAAGAGACCAGAGAACCAGTAGAGTAAAAAGTGGTCAGTGAGGCAAGAGGAAAACCAGGAGAGACTGTTGTTGTTCTAGAAGCCAAATGGAACATTTCAGAGAGGAGGGCGTGATCAGTGATGGCAGGTGCTACAGATGGGCTCCACCAGATTGAAGACAGAAATATGACTGTTCAGTTTCACAAGGAAGGGGCCATCAATGGCCTTGACATGTGAAGTCTGTTCTCATTGAAGTCTCACTGAAGGGAACAGGGCAGCCAAGGAAGCGCTTACCGGAGGTTTGTTTTTGTTGACCTTGATGGTGAAGTACACACTGGCAGTGATTCGGGCTATGGGTCTCCGAGCAGTTGGGATGCTCCAACGTACACAGTAGATGTAGTAGAAGCTGTGAAGCACATCTTCCTTCCTTAAAAACTCTGTGTAGTGCTCCCAGTGGCTTTGATACTCCCAATTCTATTTCACAGGAGAGAAGAAAAAGCACACAGAGGAAGAAAAGCAGACTTCTGTTCAAGTCCTCTCAGTGCACCCCAATCTTTTTGGCACTAGGGATCAGTTTTGTGAAAGTTTTTCCACGGCCAGGGTGGAGGGGGGGATGGTTTGGGGCTGATTCAAGTGCATTACATTTATTGGGCACTTTTATTCCTAATCTAATGCCACCACTGATCTGACTGGAGGTACCTACCGGTCTGTAGCCCACAGGTTTGGGACCCCTGTGATGAAGGCAGCACACAACAGTAGGGATTATAGCCCCACTTCTGGAATCCATTTCTAACCTTTTAGACTGAGGTTCAAACTGTAGTCAACTCTCACTTATCTCCAAGGGTAGAGGAGAGAAAAGGTGGAGCTAAAATGGGAAATAAGCTAACAGTGCAGACATTGCTTGAGATTGGATTTTGAAGTGCAGGGGCGCACACTCAGGTGTGTGTAGATACATACTGCATGCATGTCCACAGTGACCTCCTTCCAGACCCTTACTTGGAAGGCAAGTTTGGTTAATTGGAAAGTAATTAGAAAGTGCTTAGAACATGTGTTCTGCTCACTCCAGGAGACCTAAATGTGTGACTAGGAAGTAATGAGGCTGGGACTTCCCTGGTGGTCCAGTGGGTTAAGACTTCACCTTCCAATGCAGGGGGATGCAGTTTCGATCCTTGGTTGGGGAGCTAAGATCCTACATGCCTTGTGACCCAAAACATAAGACAGAAACAATATTGTAACAAATTTAATAAAGACTTTTTAAAAAAATAAAAGGAAAGTGATGAGGCTGATTTCATCACCTGTTTGGGAAAATCAGACTCACTTCATTGCAGCCCTAGGTGGTAAGTAAAATAAGATCAGAAAAGGAGTAGGTCAGGATCATCCAGATGGCTTGGAGAAGCTTCCTCCTCCAAAGTGCACACCTTAATAACACCTCAGGTCCACACAAGTCGTGTTGCACCCTTGAGTCTCAGCACCAAGCCTTGAAAGCCGGAGATATTCATCAAGTTCAACAAACCCCCGTTACTCTGGCTGTTGGGGCACAGAAAGCTTCCAAATTGAAAAAGATCCTAAATTAAGATGAAGGTCCACAGAAGGACAGGAGTAGGATTCTCTAACAATCCCAGTGATATCAGAAGAGAGTTTGGGAGGAGATGGTAAAAAGACTTCAGGCCTTCCTTTAAAAAAAAAATATTGGGACTTCCTTGGTGGTCCAGTGGTTAAGAATCCATCTCCCAGTGCAAGGGACATAGGTTTGATCCTTGATTGGGGAACTAAGATGCCACATGCTGCGAGGAACCTAAAGCCTGTGCGACTGCATACCACACGAAGAACCCACATGCTGCAACAAAGACCCAGTGCAGACAAAATAATAATAAAAAGAAACAAAAACTGTAAGCTGGTCTTCTGCCTCAGCTGATTTTATTTCAAACTTAAACCCAGTTGGCTGTTAGAGTTGGCCAGAGAGGAACATCAGACTCTAAATTTCTTGAGATCAGGTCTGTGTGTTCTTACACAGATCATTATTCCTTTGAATGAAGGAGTCAACAGTCAACCCTATGAGGACCGTTGGACCATGCCTTTTATTTTCAACCTTTCTGTGTTATACTTGATACACTTTTTTAGGCCTAATGTTTAATCTGTCACAGAGACTTCTCTGATGGTCCAGTGGTTAAGACTGTACTTCCAATGCAGGGGGTGTGGGTTCAATCCCTGGTCAGGGACTAAGATCCCACATGCCTCTCAGCACAGCCAAAATATTTTAAAAAATAATCTGTCACACAGTCACAGGCTCTGTAGCATTGGAGTGGTCCCTAAAGATCATCTAACAGAGCCCCTTGCTTTGCACATGAGGATCCCGGGACCTAGAAATAAGAAAGGACAAACAAAACAGCTGGAACTGGGACCCGGGCTCCCAGGCAGCCAGCTCAGTGCTCTCTCCACCCCATCAGATGTCTCAGCTCTAGGATATTCTAAAGCAGGCTTAGACACAGTAAATTCAGCTGTCTCCATCAAGCCAATCTCTTCCAATTTTTATCTCTATGCTGTGAGTGTGTGTTACCCCATGTTTTGTCACTTTTACATAACATTGCTTTATATACTCACTTCCAGGAAAAGAGTATCTCATTGTGCTATTCTGCCATGCATGGCTTAGACAATAACATACTATTGGACACTCAAAATCAACAGGCACCTGGAAGTATATGCACAAAACTGTTATCCCTGGTAAGTGACATCTGAGGGAGTAGAACTGGATATTGTAGGGATAGAAGGGGGTTTTCATGTTCTACTTTGTGTCTTTTTGCTCACCGAGTTTTTTTTAATAATGATATCTTAATTTTATTATGAAAATATTGTAAGTGTGTGATAGGCATGAGGGATTTTCCAGGTTTTCTTGTATAAAGAACTTCTTTGTGTATTCTTGGGACTTCTCGGTGGTCAAGTGGTTAAGACTCCATGCTGCCAATGCTGGGGGCATGGGTTCAATCCCTGGTCAGAGGACTAAGATTCCACATGCCATGCAGTGTAGCGAAAAGATAAAAATAAATTAAAAAAATTTTTTTAAAAAGAACTGCTTTGTGTATCCTTGTTACCACATTCCATTGCTGAAGAAAATAAACCAGTGCTGCCCACTGGCAGTGTATAAGTGTACCCATTTTTCCCTCCCCACAAACACACAAGCCTTCTGATACCAGATTGAATCATTCTTATTCACATTGTAATACCTTAAAATCTTTTGAATTTGCATTTTTCATTGATAGTAAACTGTATTATTTTTGGCATCAAAAACGACTCTTCTTATTACAGTGAGAAAAGTGTATCAGATAGACCTACAGTCAAAACTTTATTTTGCTGATTAATCAGAAAGACTTTGGACAAATTACCCAACCTCTGTGACCCTCAAGTTTCATCATCTGTAAAATGGGTACACTGAGGTACCCATACCCAGGTTTTTTGTGAGGATTAAATGAGATAATGCATGTGAAATGCTTAGTGGTGCTTGGCACATTGCAGTGCTCACTCAGTAAATGGTAATAACTCCTAATTTGCCATCCCCTGGTGTGTGGTGAACTCTAAGAAATCTGCAGTAAGCTTGAGAAAGCTCTCCATTAGAAGTGCCTGGCACTTAGATGGTAGACTTTACTTCTAGGGCTTGCTGCATTAGTAGGACTGGAAATGGTGGTTTTATGTCAGGAGTTACATAGAGCTGCTAGCTTTTCCATCACCTTCTACTTTCTAATTTGTCTCTGTCCTCACAACAGTCCTACCAATGAATAAGACAAATACTTTGACTTAGTTTTTCATCTGTGAAGAAATAATGGCACAGAGAATAAATCTGTTTATATATTCAACACATATTTATAGAGCAGCTACTCTGGTGACTCAGCTGGTAAAGCATCTGCTTGCAATGTGGGAGACCTGGGTTCGATCCCTGGGTTGGAAAGATCTCCTGAAGAAGGGAACGGCTACCCACTCCAGTATTCTGGCCTGGAGAATTTCATGGACTATACAGTCCATGGGGTCACAAAGAGTCAGACACAACTGAGCGGCTTTCACTTTCACTACCATGTACCTGACCTTTCTAAGGCCTGGGGACATGACAGTGAACAAAAGTCTGTGCCCTCATGGACCATGTGTTCTGATGGCGGATAAAGGCAATAGGGTAAATAAAATCTAATATCCTAGATAGAGCTGAGTTCTGATGGAAAAGAAAGAAGTCAGAGGAGAAATGGGTGCAATTTTAAATCAGGTGGCTGGGAAAGGCCTCAGTGAGCATAAGGCATCTTAACAAAGACCTGAAGAGAGGGAAAACGTGACCCATGAGAGTAGATCTCAGGGGAGAGGGAACAGCAAGGGTAGAGACCCTGAGCATGCCTGGCAGTTCAACTGCAAGTACAACTTGGATGAGAAAGGTGACCAGGGAGAAGGTGGTAGGTGATGGAGTCTGAGCAGTCAGTTGGGAGGAGGCGGGGATGGAGACTCGTATCACATGGGGCCCTGTAGCCCAGGCAGGACTGACTTTTAGCCTTTTACTCGGGACCAGTAGGATCTCCAGAGGCACGTTTTCCTGCTTGTTCTCTGTCCCATTCAGTCTAATTCATAAACCCTGGATACAGCAGGCAGAACCTTTGGCCCAAACCCAAATGGAAGATGTTCTCCGAGTGGGAAGGCCCAAGGGGAACCAGAACTTTGCACCATTTGTCTTCATTGTGTTCCTGGTACCCCTTGCAATGGCAACAGCAGTCATGCCGCTGGATCACAAATGGAGGGTGTGGAGTCCCAAACCCCTGACCTTTCCTCTTTCCCACTTGACTGGGGCCTTCCTGGGCCTGGGAAAGTGCCCTTAGGCCAGAAGGCTTGGATGGACTGACCAGAGGAACAGAGACAGCTGGACACTTCTTCCAGGCTCCAGGAGTTTGCCTCCACCAGTTTCACCTGGTTTCTCTTCAAGGAAATAGAGTGAGTGGGGGTTTCAGACCAGTCTTCTTCCTCCACCCCACCAGTACGCAAAGCAACCCAGGGCCTTCTTCCCAGAGCTGCCAGGATAAGCCCTACAAATAGGTCAGAGCCAGGACCAGGAGGAAAAAGAAAAGGAGTTAGGAGCATGTGCATCTGACGGTACAGTGAACACATTCCAGAGCTAAGTCAAAACACCTTGTGATCTCTCTACATCCCCTCTGTTAATGTGAGAACTCTAGAGCTGGGACTACAGAACCCCTGTTTTTAGAGAGGCATCTCCCTCCTTAGAAAGGCTTCCCAGTGGCTCAGTGATAAAGAATCTGCCTGCCAATGCAGGGGATGCAGGTTCGATCCCTGGGTTGGGAAGATCCCCTGGAGAAGGGAATGGCAACCCATTCCCATAATCTTGCCTGGGAGATCCCATGGGCAGAGGAACCTGGTGGGCTACAGCCCACAGGGTCGCACAAATCAGACACAACTTAACAACTAAACAACAATTCCTTCTTAGGCCATTAGTTCCCCATTTAGGGCAGTGGCATGGGGAAATTGCTTAGCTGAGAATATCTGATTTTCTTAGGGAAGTGTACGGTGAAGACAATACAAACACTGGGAAATCAATTGTGCTGTTCACCTTCAAAGACTATCCCATCTTGATTTTGAAATCCAGATGAGACAGCTTTTATTTATTCAAGTCGCCTGTGGTATCATCACTTAGGCTTCCTAGCAGGACTTCCAACTTTTCATCACAGAGGAGTCTTTTTGTCACTCTTCGCCCTTGTGTGCAAAGCTGGAGTGGCCAAAGGACTTACCGAAACAAACTCCTCAACTTGCTTACAGCCCTTTTCTTCTGTGAATTCACCGTGGGTGATCCAGTCGATATTTCTGACGGGGTTTTCAGCTTCTGCAAACAGAGTATGAATGTATTAGTTACCTCCTAGTGGAGCACTACCTAATGAGACCATAGGCACCCAGACAGGTTTGCTACCTTCTACAGACTTGACAGCAGCAGTGATGGCATCCTTGGCTAAAGTTAGAGCTATTTCTGTTATGTCTTGAGGGTCTTCTTTGGCCATTGCCTGGCTTGTGGAACCTTTATCTTCATTTGCTTCCTTCTCAAACTTGACTCTTTTGGTCACATTCATTTTCTTTTCACTGGAAAAAGAAACTCAAGAAGTTACTTTGTGTGTGTGTGTGTGTGTGTGTGTGCATGTGTGTGCACATGCCTGTATAAACTCATCTTAAGTACAGACTATCTATTGAAGAATCACAAGACACAGGAAACAGTTGTTGCCTCTAGGGAGGGTATTAGGTGTTAGGGTAGGAGGGGTATCGCTGTTTACCTTCTGTGCCTGGATGCTGAGATCCACTATTCCTGAAAACCAAGGATTTTCTGATTCTCATAACCGTGAAGACTTAAGTCAAGGAAGGTGTAGCCAAATGACTCCTAACTTCCTTATAGTTCTACCAGTATTGATTTCTAGTTGAGTCTTTATTAGAACTTCAACCCCCCAGGTTTCCCTGGTGGCTCAGTGGTAAAGAATCCACCTGCCAATGCAGGAGATGCAGGTTTGATCCCTGATCTGGGATGATCCAACATGCTGCAGAGCAACTAAGCTCCTGTGCCACAACTATCGAGCCTGTGACCTAGAGCCCAGGAGCCGCAACTACTGAGCCAATGTGCTGCAACTGCCGAAGGCCCTAGAGCCTGTGCTCTGCAACAAGAGAAGCCACCACAATGAGAAGCCCGTGCAGTACAACAAAGAAGAGCCCCCACTTGTAGCAACTAGAGAAAGCCTGTGCAACAACTTTTAAGACCCAGCACAGCCAAATATAAATAAAATTATAAAACAACAACTTCACACCCTGCTTTAGGCTACTGAGGGCATGTGGCTCTTTGAAGATAAAGTGAATTAAAAGGATTAGAGGCAGTACAGTAGAGGAGGGGTTTGCTTTTCAGTTTTTCTCCTCTTGGATTTTCCAGATATGCAATTATCTGTCAGAAACTTATCTTTTCTTTTGCCATCTCTTTCCCTGCAATATATAAGTGTTAGCTTTGGGTAACACTTCCAGAAAAATGGAAAGGAAACGAGACAGTGGCTTCTTTTGCTTCAGGCTTCAAGGGGCGTGCTTTTTGGTGTGGCACCAGTAAGTATGATGCTGGCTCAGAGCTTGAAATTTGTTAAGAAAATATTTGTCTGCTCCTATTTTAGTAAGATGTTTGTGTGTGTTAGTCACTTAGTCGTGTGTGACTCTTTGAGACCCCATGGACTGTAGCCCACCAGGCTCCTCTGTCCATGGAATTCTCCAGGCAAGAATACTGGAGTGGGTTGCCATTCCCTTCTCCATGGGATCTTCCTGACCCAGGGATCGAAGCCATGTCTCATGCATTGTAGACAGATTCTTCACCGTCTGAGCCACCAGGGACATCCAAGATGTTTGTAAGAGATAATTAAATTTTTCCAAGTGTGTTTAACACTTGTCCAGATTGTGGAAATTAGTTATCAGGACTGTAAAGGGTTCATCACAGAGCTAGAAGTCTTTGCACATTTTCCATTTTTCCCCTTGAGTCTTGGAGTCTTTCTTTCCCTGCTGTGCTGAAGTCTCTTTACTGAGGTGCACTCACTTCTAACATAGCTATAAACCCCCTGCAGGCAACCCCTGCTTGGCCAGTGCTGCCTGAAAGTGGCTCTCTCGCTCCTAAGGGAGCTATTTATTTCTCTATAAATAGCAACTCCCAATTTGGGGGGTTTAATGTGCCTCATTCCATTTGGCTCTCAGCACGACTGTGAGATCATGGCTGGACATCTATCTTGTGCCTTCCAGGCCCACTTTCCCCACCTCCCCTGCTCTCCAGCCAGGAACACTGACCTGCTGGGACTGTAACAGTGGGCTGTCCCGTGCCCTCTGGCTTCCAGGAGGTGCCACACAGTGGGGAGATCAGGCTGAAAGGAGAGTGAGCTCCAGGCAGGTATTCCCCTGGGGCTCTCTGCCTCCCGGGTCACCCCTGACTGGCTGCCTGAGGAGGTGGCCACCAGTCCCAGGGCAGCTCGCTCACTTCTCAGTCTGGTGAGGGTAACCATCCTCTCCCCTCAACATCAAGGCCCCACTGTTACCAGCCCCAAGGAGCTGTCCTCACCCTCCTTTCCCTACCCTCTGCCCATACCTTTGTAAATATCCCCTTTACTTAACCCTTCTCTCCGACTTTCTTTGTGCCAGCAGTTTCCCCACTGGGGCCCTGAGTCATAAAAAGAGAGACTCTAGTTACCACATGAGCCAGGAAGCCAACCTCACATCAGGCCATCCAGCTCCACAGCCCGCCTCTCCTCCACCCTGCCCTCCTTCCTCCCCTCCATGCTTCACAATGAGTGATGACCTCATCGCTGTGAGCCTCTTTCAAGAAGGTCATCCTTTGTTCCCTTTCTGGACATCATCACTGGTCCCAGGCTGTGGTGGGTGCTGTACTAGGCAATCCAGCTCCCCTGGCTGCAGTGGAGGGGCAGACAGGGTCATCCTTTGGGGGAAAATGGAATCTTCCCAGGCAGCCCATCCCAGAGTGAGGAGGGACTGAAGGGTTGGGGTAAGGGTGTCTGGAGGCCCTTAGCCCACAAGAACTGGCTCTCCCACCCCGAGGCCCATGCCAATTTGGCCAAAGCAGTTTGTCATAAACCCCATCCAGCAACATGATCCTTCAGAAAACGGCCCATTTGGCTACTTGGTCATTCGGTGACTTGACTTTCAGTAAATTGCCTCTTGATGAATTGACTGGAAGCCAAATCTGTGCCCTTCAAGCCCAGCAAATTAGTTGGGGCCTTGTCTATAGAAGGATCCCAGGAGCCCTGTGCTCCAGTGGGGAACAGGCCTCAGGAGGCAGTTCCCATCTTATCCTCACATGCCTGTGGACCACAGACCCAAAGCCTCCCTCCCACCGGCCTTGCCTAGCTCTTTCTCCTCCTCCCCTTCTTAATGTGAGGCCAGAAGGCAGAATGGCTGTGAAGGGCCGGGGTCAAGTTTGAGGTGTGAGTGACGAATGGGGAAAACAAGTGCAGGCCCCTTTTGCAGAGCCCTCCCATCCTTCATAACCCTCAATACCTCTGTGACCAGATCATTTTGTCCTGGATCCTCGTATGAAACAGCAGCGGTCTGGGAAGCCTCAGAAAGAGTCGCTGGGCAGCTTTTCCCCAGGCTTCCCGGCTGGAATGTTTACACCTGCTACCAGGGCAACACCAATTTCAGTCAATAGGAACCAAAGCCCAAATGATTGACGACTTCTGTTAGTGAGAGGGGGGCTAGTAGGGTCACAGCAGCAGTCTGACCTGTGGATCAGGACTAGGCTGTCCTGTCCACGCTAGCTTCCCACCAGCAGGTGGACTTGCAGGGCTGCGCAGGAGTAGTGAGCCTCGCAGCTAGTATATATACTGGGAGTCCTTATTGTGTGCCAGTCACTGGGAAGTGCTACATCACAATAGCCCCAAGAAGTAGGTGTTGGTGTTTTCATTACAGTTGAGCAGGGGCACAGAGTGTATTACATACGTTGGCTAAAACTCAAACCCAGAGCTGTCCACCTTCATTGACTGAGCTTTCACTTATTTATTCCCAACTTCTGAGGTTAGGATCTCCCTTGTGTGCCCGATTGTTTTCAAAGATGTCTTTTATGAATCTAGGATGAGCTTATATGGTAATGGTTATCAGCACATACCCAGGAACAATTTACTTAACATTTCTTAGTTTGTCTATAAAATGGGGATGACAGTGCCTGCAGAATCCTCTTAATGAGGATCAAATCACAGTTTTACAGAAAAGGCTGAGAACAGTGCTTGGTACATCAGAGCCAAGGCAGGAGGAGGGCTCGTGTGGACACTGCCATTGGGGAGCGCAGAGGCTCCTGAGCTATGAAAACGCTGGATGATGAGGACCGGCCTGGGTTCTGTTTGTTGATCTGACTCCCATACAGCCCATCAGACCAACTGCCATGAACCTTCTAGTGCCTCAGCAGGCCCTGATCCACAGCCCTGCCCTCCTCCTGGGTTCCCTGGGAGAAAGAGGGGGAACTGGAAACACTGGGCGGGGTCGCAGCTGCACTCCAAAAGGACAGAGCTCCAGCTGCCTGTATGCAGCAGGGGCTGCAAGACCTAAGAAGCCCTGGGACCACTGGTGCGAGGCCCAGGGTGAGCATGGAAGGGTGGGCAGTGGGATTCTTAACTGCCCAGAGGAGACGTGCAATCCACCAATGAGACGCTCTCAGAAGGTAAAATGTTCTTGCGGGGGAGCCGGGAAAGATTTCCCAGCCGATTAGAAAGGCTCCTCTTTGAAGCAGAAGCTTCAAGTGGGTGGCCAGAACATCACCGTCTACCCCCAGCCAAGCCCCTCACTGAAGCGACAAATTCTGGCCTCTGGGCCTAAGAGATTGAGAGACCTTTTGAACCCTCATCAGCAACGAGGACAGGGACTTCCAAACCATGCCCTCCTCGGATGCCTCCTCCCCAGGTGGCACCGCAGAAGAGTGTTGGGAGGGCCGGGGTGGGGGTGGGGGTTGGAAGTGGGGGGCGCAGATGGGAGAGAAGCAGGTGGGGCAGGAGGAGAAGGAGCAGGAAATAAGCCTCTGGCAGTTCCCCTCTCACACACCCCCGTCCCCAAGCTCTTGCCCTGGAGGGGGGGCCGGGCCCCAGGAGAGTGGGGCAGCACCTGCTCCAGCCGCGTGCCAGCCTGCGCCTGCGAGAACATGGAGCCTGTGTGCAAAGACATGCCCCGCGGCCCCGCTCAGGGCCCTTCTAGACCCTGTGGGCAGCCTGGTGAGTGTGGCGGTCTGCTCGCGGGGGGCCTTGGACACGGGGTCATACAGGGTCTGAAACGCGCCGTCTCCAGCTTCGTCCCTTGCTCCAGCTAGGGGAGGGAGAAGGGGTGAGGTCTTGCTTGCCCCGTGTGTGGAAAGTGGAGTGAATTGGTACCCAGGATGTGGTGCTCAGTAGGGGGTGTTGCTTTGGTCGCTGTCAGCTTCTTCCTGACTTGAGGACAGTTAGGGGAGGAATAAGTTGGGGAAGGGGGGCAGAAGCGGGCAGGGGGTCCCGCAGGGGCAGTGGACATCAGTACAGGAGAAAGGACAGCTACACCCTGGGCCTTGGTTTTTCTTCCTTCCCACCTGTAACCTGTTGAGGCTTGTCCCAGGCCACAGGTGCGAGGCCTTGCAACAAGGCCACAGAATCGAAGCCCAGAACCAAGGGCACCTCCCAAGCTGACTGAGCCCCTTTGTAATGGTTGCCAAAAGCCCCCTTGATCCTCACTAACAAGTTCCTGACTCCCAATTAGGCCAAGGTGCCCACTCCACTAAACACCCCATAGCACCCCAACCCATCACCTAATGCCAGCCTTCCAATAGGAATTTTGTCTTGAGGCTATAAAAATTGTATATGAACTCACGAAAACTGTCAGCTTTCTCTCCTCTGTCAGGAAGTTGTCCCACTGCATTCACAGTACCCACATTATCTCTGCTCTTTGTTCTTAATAAAAACTCACTCCCTTCTGAAATGTCCTGTGTCTGGAAATTCTTTTCCAACCCGCAATCAGACAGCCTCAACATAGCCCTTCAGTCATGTTCGTTTCCTCTAACCTCCTGCCCTCACCTCTCCTGGTACCTTCATGCTCAGCCTGTCACCCGCTTCCCTTGTTTACCTTCTTACTCCCCCAACCCCAGCCGATGCCCCACAAGGCTGTTCTCAGAGATGAAGCTCATGCTATATGCTGACAATCCCCTGGCAAGTGATCCCAGTCAGCTAGCACCGGTCTTCTGAGGACTGCAAGGCCCTGAGGTGAAGTGAAGCTGAAACAAGTTTCCCACCCTCAGTGCACCTACAGTCTAGTTGGGAGGATAAACTGTGCTCACCTTACAAGAGAAGCAGTGAGTCAAATGTAGCAAGGCACCATGGGTTTGGGGAGCTTCTCAGCAAGTGTGGCTGACTGACTTCACTTCCACCATGAAAGGCCTGACCAGACTGTCCCCAGAAGGGAGAGGAGGTGATAGGAGCTCAGGGCCTTTCCTAAATGGAGGGCTGTTCTTCATCCATAAAGGCCACACACCCTGTGTACTGTGCCTGTCAGCCCCAGGTGGGCAGACCCCTGAGAGCTGTGATGTCACAAAGACCTCTTGCAATAGTCCAGGGGTCCTTGAGCATGCAGGTCTGCCACTGGGGGAGTGCCTCATTGAACAGCTTCCTGCTCAGAACACAAGTCCTATGGCAGAACTGTTCCCAGACGGCTGGCCTTTTGATGGGGATGCCTAGATGGTCATTCCCACATTGGGCTGCCCTTAACAGACACTGGATGAAAACTCCAGAGTTGCACTAGAGACCTGACCCAGCTTGATCCAAAGACTAGGCTCTTAAACTTAAGAGATGGGAGTGGGCTTCTGGGGGCCTGCACTGTTTTCTGGCCTCTAGAAACAGAGTATTAAGCCTAAAAGGAAAACAATCTGTCTGCTAAGTGAAACAGACATTCCCCAGTCGTGTGGTAGGTGGCACACAGGGGGAAAGGCAGGTATGCCAAAGAAAATCTTAAACACACAGGAAAGATTCTTGTTTTCTTGGGGGCAAGTGACACTCAGTGTTTCCATTGTCTTCCCTTTTCTCCTACTGCCTTCGGCATTACAGTTCTTTGGTGTCATAACTGAAATTGCATACTTGTTGGACTTACCTGGTGGCACAATGGATAAGAATCCCCCTGCTAATGCAGGGGACATGGGTTTGATTCCTGGTCCAGGAAGATTCCACAGGCTACGGAGCAACTAAGCCTGCAAGCCACAACTACTGAGCCTGCAAGCTGCAACTACTGAAGCCCGTGCCCCAGAGCCTATGCTCTACAAGAGAAGCCACTGCAATGAAAGCTTGTGCGCTTCAACTAGACAGTAGCCCCTGCCTGCCACAACAAAGACCCATTTAAGCCAAAAATAAAAAAGTTAAAAAAAGAAATTGCATACTTGTTTGTAAATTTTATTTCCCGACCACCCTCTAACCCATATAATTGATTTTTCCATGTTTTCTGGAATTGAGGGAGACACCTGCTATGAAACAAAACAACAGATGAAACAAAATGTCTGCAAACAAATAAAGCAGTATTTACATGGGTTAACACAAGTCAGATCTGCTAGGCCATTTTCTCAATGATGCCCTGAAAAGAACAATTAGGTCTTTAGTCCTCAGTCAAGATTTGTGGAAATCCCCAAACTGGTGATTTGGCTCTTTATTGTCAAAGAGACTTTCAGGGTGGCCAACAGCATCAGACACAGAGGACACACAAATATAC